CATGAAGTTCGACGAGGAAGTAGTTTCTACCATCATGGCTCCATTGTCTAAACAAGGTTTTCAAGAGGCTACGGCCAACGACACAGTCCTGCCATCAAAGATTCGTTACACTACTTCATCCTGCCCGCAAGACGATAACTCAATTGCAGATCTACGACCTTACTATCAGGTACGAGATCAACTTTCTTTGAACGAAGGGATTCTATACAAAGGAGAAAAGATGGTTGTTCCTGTGAAACTACGTGATTATATAATTGAACTGGCGCATGAAGTCCACCAAGGAATATCAAGAACCACAAGTGTAATCCACAAACACTACTGGTGGCCTCAGATGAACCAACAGATCAAAGTAAAGATAGAAAATTGCACAGTGTGTCACTCAACGGACAAAACAGTCAAGGCGGCACCAGCTCCTCTACAGCCAATTAAGTTTTCAAGCCAACCTTGGGAGAAGCTCGGAATCAATATTGTTGGCCCGATTGATCGTGCGCCACCGTTTCAGCAATTCTTCATTGTTCTCATAGATTACCACTCTAAGTGGCCCGAAGTCCAAGCTACATCTTCCGTAACGTCAGCCACAGTTATATCGTTCCTGAAGAACGTTTTTTCCCGGGAAGGATATGTGAGATTGTCTCTGACAATGGTGTCCAATTTGTATCTCGTGAGTTCCAAGATTTCTTGCATCAGCATGGTATTGAACATAGGACAACAGCTCTGTATCATCCTGAATGTAATGGGCAGGTCGAAAGATTTAATCGTGTCCTGAAGTCTTGCCTACAACTCGCTGTAGTAAAAGGTCGTTCGCTTCCTGATGCTGTTCGTGATCATCTAGAAGCACATCGTCGAACTGTGCATCCTGCAACTGGGTTTGCACCATCACTTCTCCACGGGCGGATTCATCGCTCAAGACTTGATCTACAAGGTATGCCTACGAAGGAAGTTCCAGATAACTTCTCCGACAAACGAAATCAGCTTCCCAAAAGAGTCCACGTATATCAACAGAAAATGAAGTCCTACTTTGATCATTGACATGCTGTACGACCGCCACAGTTTCGTCTTGGGCAAACAGTTTGTGTATTCAAGCCCAATCATCATGATAAACTGAATAGTACATACTCTGAACCTCATAGGATACATACACAACTGGGGCCTGCCACATATCGACTGGACGACGGTAGACGCTGGAATGCTATGAAGTTAACAAAGACATCTCGTCTGCCTCCTGTTCCTGTGGACCTTCCTGATCCGTCTTGGGATAGCGATGAAGATGAAAATACAATGCATGTTCCCACTTATAGGCATATACATACACATCCTTTGGTCCACCATGCATCTACCCGTGCTCCTGAACATAATATCCAAGCATCTGTCGGTGGTTCTCCACCACCTGAAGGGTACAGTGGGCAGCCAGTACTCCGCTCTCCTGGGGAACCAGATGCTGCGCTTTCCGAACCGGGTTTCCCTGTGGAGTCTGATCCGTCATTTACAGCTGCTGGCCTGGGTTCCTTGGGAAACCTCGGGCATGCTGTGCAACCTGAGCACTCTGCTGTGCCAGGGCCTAGTGGGCCTCCTCCTGCTGTGTCTCCTGGTCCTGCTGGCCCAGGACCTGGGTCCGTCGTGGATCCTTGCCTACCTGCTGTGGCACAGGGTCATTCTATTCCTTCAAAGTCTGCTGGGGCACAGCCTTCCCAGCCGTCCGACGCAGTCTTCCATCCGCCGAGGGCGAGCACACCGCTCGGATCTCGGCCCAGCTCAACATTAAATACTGAACCGCAGTACCACACTCCGCCTACTCTTTCACCGCCACCACCGGTACCAGCCCGACCACCCCGCAAGAAGAGAGTTCCGGCAAAGTTCAAGGACTACGTCATGGCGGTGTCAGGTAACAGTGGGCAGGTTGAGTCCAGTGATGTGCTTTAAATATTATTTTGATTATCATGCATAGTTTTGAACAGTCTCATTGTCATAGGAAAACCTTGGCCAAGGTGCAACAACAGATGTCCATGGCAAACACTGAATACAAACTACACTGCATGCTTATCACACTACTAACCTACTAACCACACTCACAAAGGTGCCCTGGACATTTGATTTGTTGTAACATGTATCATCATATTGAAATATCTTAAAATGGTCATTTACCTACAAGTACAAATTTATTTTTCATGGAAGGGGGAAGTCGGAGTTACTACATTTACGTGAAATATTTTGAGAAAGCTGTGCTCTTAAAGACAATCGTGTGAACAATTTTTCTTTTCTGTGGCGTGTGACTTTTGTGTACTGCAGGTATTAAGACTTTCTGCCAGTGTTAAGACTTTGCGCAGTGTCAGGTATCACTATATTTTTTTTGCACAGTACTTCTGGACGTTTCCGTGAAATGCGATAATGATACTTGCTCGATTTTTTTTAGTGCATTCTTTTTTAATATTTAAGTGTCCTAACGTAATTCTCCCCTCCCGGGTTTTCTTTTTCTGTTAAGGGAGGGAGAATGTTGTATTCTTTGAATTAAAAAAAGATGGTGCTACCGGTCTCACGCCGACCGTGCAATAAACACGAGCGAACGGCACGCGCCTTGCGCGGGGCGGAAAAAGAACAGATGCTCGCTGACCCTTGACTTGGCTGGTCTGCTTCTCTACGCCTCCGGGCGTCTGCTTCAATCATTGGACGGCAACCACCTTTTCTTACCATGTAGTTTTGGTCCCCTTTTCAACTTAGAATATTACACTAACACTGAAGTACGACGAGCAGGAATCTTCTTGAACATTTGGACAATGTGTGTGCCACGTAGGTATGCGTAGTTGTATGAATTTTCTAACGCGAGTGCAGTTTCGAAGCGGCAATGAGCTAGAAGACGACACAATAACCACGACGACCAAGCCCGCACGCGTGCACTTCCGAGTGATTTGGGAAATGCATGACGGTGCATGCGTGGTGAACTGCACCTCCTGTCATTGTGACCCCCGCAAGAACAAGGGAAAATGGACGTAACGAGCACACAAACAAAGCGAAAGAACACAGCAGGAACAGCGCCGCAACTACATGAGACCAGTGAACTATGACAGTCTAAACAAAAGACGGCTGCATGCACCAGAGGTATAAATGCTTACGCATTTGATAAACTCCTCATGGATCTCACCAAGGAAGTGAAAGCTATCTTCAAAGAGCAAGAGTGTGCATCTTCTGGCCTGGAATGAACTCGGAGATCAAAGACTACATCCACTCACATGGAGTGTTCCAGAAGCACAGCCATGCACAACCAAAGAAACCTCCAATGTTGCAACAATGGCAAAGGTATCCATGAAAAAGAATTGGCACAGACATCACAAATATCACATACAATCTACTCAATTTGTATATGGCTAAAAAGTATGGATTGGGATAAGTTATCCCTAAGAAAAGTAAAATCACCCTTTTTCTCCAGCAGCTAAAGGTAGTTGCCTTTCTTTGTAGTCTTTGTGCCTAGTTTTTGTATGATTTTATCTCTGCTATCCGTCATGCCTTAATGTTAAAAAAAAAAAAATTAAAATTTGTGCTTAAAATGTTGTGATAGCAACGATCTTTGTACAATTTTTTGTTTTCGCTTGATTACTGTTTTTCCCGGCTCTGTTGCTGCTTTCTGTAGGTGGCTAGGGACCCGTCAAGCTGCACCCGACAGCTTTTTTCCCTGATTGCCGCAGAGTTTGCTACTCACTAGTAGTTCATGCACGACAGATCAAGGTTAAGTCATGCCCAATTTAATGAAATGGTCGAGCCAGCCACAGCAAAGACCTTACTCTGAAGAGCAGGGTTGTGTACCAAATTCGGCAGTATAGATGAAAAAAAAAGGGTCCCACATATTTTCTTCTGCACAGAGAAAGCGGCGAGCCAAGCATGGTGAATAATAATGCCAAAAAGCTTCTTTGCCATAGAAAGAAAGTCTGCAGGGTAACAGAGAGCGTGGCGTGTCACCCTCATGTCATGGTCATAGTGCAGACATAATTTTAGGTGCAAATGTTTATGTCGGTCTCATCCTTACCAAAGACTGCAATGACTTGCTCTGTACGTGCCCAAACTACGAAAAATAACACGGAACCAAAAAAATCTTTCATTAACCCCTTAAGTGCATAGTTTTTCCCAAAAGATGTTTTCACATGTCAGGTTTTGTTTCCAAAGGAATAACATGAAGAAAGGGCCAATGCACAGGCTTTTTTCTTAATTATCTAGCTGGGCATGTAAGTTCTTGTAGCCTTGCAAGCTACTCAGGTTCAGAAGCATCAAATGGAAATATTGAGGGAGGAAATGTTGTCACCTTTCTTTCATTCGTTTTTCATTTTGGCGGGTTCCATTACCGCGATATCCTGGCGGTTTCAGATTCCGAACCAGACCTGCTTTACACAGCTTCTCTATCGGTTGGTAAGCTGCCATCCTCAGAGTTCAAATCTGGGAAACATTAAAAGCCAGAATCGGAAGAACCGGTACTGCAGTTACCAGAGAAATGTGCCGCCGACATGCGGCGACCATGCATATCACATGTGCGGAGCGGCTAATTTCAAAACTATGAGTAGCCCCAGTATAGCAAAACACCGTGTGAATATAATGTTTACTAAAAACATTTATTAAGTGCCTAGATAATTGCCGTGGAAATAAACCTCTCCCTCACCCTCCCCCCTCCCCCCCTCCCTCCCTCCCCCCTCCCTTCCCCCCCCCCCCCCCAAAAGTTATGTTGCAACTCGTTTTGAATTAGAAGCATGTTACAGAATCGCAAAGTGCCTTGCAACATAGATAGTAGATAATGTTGCGCTTGAAATTTTTTTTCTATCGGGGAGATACATGTCCAATCAAGACACCTAAAAAAAATGTCCTTGGGAAGTTCAGTACCTCTTTAAGAGAGCTGAAGTGAAACTTGTATGCTTGAACCACGATGCCTTGGGGCAGTAACAGCCAGCCAGCCCTGTACCACAAGCAGCAATAACCCTGTACCAAAAGCTAAGTACTCGCCTCCTACTCCCGCCAACGCTTACCGTTGAAGCAGCTTACGATGACGACGTGGTTCTTTCCGGCGAGGCGGGGTTCCGAAGGAGACGAGTTGCGGTGGCAGGAATCCGGTGGGCGCACGACAGGAATGTCTCTCCTCAGATCACTCGGCACAGTTGCACGAAACAACTGGCACACTGCGTCTCATTCGTGAGCACCACGCACCACCACTCCGCTGAAAGCAGCCCGGTGGATGCCCAGCCTGCAATCAGAAAACACCGCAACACTTTAGCAAGCTTTCAAGCAAACCCCATGTCCCAACAAAACATAAAGACACTGCGGCCAGATTGCCGGCGTTCTGCGAAAAGCGCCGAACGTCGTTTCGAAAGGCATGCTCGCCCGCTGCTCGACAGTAAACAAGAGCAGCGAGGGGTAGAAGAGAACTGCTCGAACAACACTGACACCTTAGACGAAGCCCCACCTTTTCCCACCGTAAATGCTGCCTGTAAACCTTTCCTCTAATCTCCTACAAATGACATTCAACAAAGATATCAATTGCGGATGCACAGACTATAGGTGGACCCGTTGTTCCGCGAGCTTTTACCGACGCCAAAGCATCCTCCGTATTACCACTCTGGTTAGGAGAAATTAAGAGCTACAGCCACTGGCAAGGTAAGAACGGCAAGGATGCCTGGCCTCCAGCTCACACTCCCCGAGCTGGAGGTGCTTTGGCTGCGAGCACACGCTCGAGGCTTGTGAGACATCAAAGCCGCATCGAAGGTAGCGCGACAACTGAAACTTCTCCCTGGAAATCTCATCTTGTCAGGGACCATAGAATAAAACTGATTGCGGTATTTCTCCTTTCTCCAAAGAAAAGCCACAGAGAACTCCTTGTCACGGCTGTTCTGGGACTGGTGGCGGAAACCGAAGGTTTGAGTTTGGCACCCTAAAGGTCACTTTTGTAAGTTACGACTTGAGATTAAACCAGTCGGGTACGTGCAAGTGCAGACAGAGCACCAACAACCACTATGCTAGTGGTCAAGCTGACGGCCAGTTTTGGCGGGAGCCTCTGTAAATTGCGTCGTGTTTTTTCTATTTATATTTGTTCGAGACTTTGGAGCGACTTCATCCATTTCCCACGTGGACACCCTTCGCCTTTGGCTTCATTACGCCAATATTCAAATATTCCGACAACCACCAGTAAATGCGACATGGTGACCCTTTTGTTGTTTACCAGCGCTTCGCAAAATCAAAACTTCATCACCTGGAAGAGCTCACAGCTGCACCTCGCCAAATTACTCTAGGATCCCAGCAATTTATACGACTTGAACCATCACTAAAGCTTCTTTTCATGACACAACCCTCCATGGCATCAAAATCTTTCGTCGGCGGCATATTGATTTTGTTTCCTCATAACGCAATCACACCTGCACCAGGAAATTCTGCACGTACTGCTCAAACACCATCAGTGTAAGCTCAGCATTGTTTTAAGTTTGCACGTCGAAAACTAGGTACCTCTTTCGAAAATATGGTGGCTGCCTGCGCATGCCCGAACTGCTGGCAGCATCCTTTGCCTTTAAAAACGCGTACTCGTGGTGCAAAGTCAACCACAAGCAGGGTCCCATCCTTCCCTAGCATGACGTCGCACTATGCCTAAAGCCCCTTGATAACATCCACGCTTCAAGTTTCTTCCAAGTGCCACCAACCATTCGCTTCCAAGGGCTGCTTATTTCAGCGCTGCATCGCCTTTAGCGCTGCGCCGCCTTCAGCGCTGCGTCGCCATTTGCTTGCACGAGACCCGTGCCTCGTGCACTGGCGCATTCGATGCTACATCAAGCGACTTTAGCTGTTTAACTCCTGGGCCGGTTTTCTCGGAGCGATGGTAAACCCATTTTGGTAAACCACGGTGCCTAGGAAGGGGAAAGTACCTAGGTACTGTAATAAACGGCTGGTTATAGAACAACAATAATTATTTTTGATTGGGCAGTAAGATGCGCCATCTATCGGTGAAACAAGCCAGTCATTTTGTTTATCCTCTTTTTCCGCTGGTTGTTATCGGTCTAGTATGGTATTTTAAGTCAAAATATAGTAATGTTGTACTTGAAGACCAATTTATTTGCTTCAGATGGTACGAAGAAAGTTTAGCTACTATGATAGAGTTTGTCGTCGAATGTTTGAAAATGCAAGGAACATTTCCTTCAATACCTTTCGCCATAAATAATGCATAACTTTCCCGTGTGCCTTCCAGTCTGGCAACGCCGGTGCTGTAGTCTCATTTTTGTTCCTTGCGACGCACGTTTCTGCAATTCCTGCTGATCTCAACTGTTTTCCCTCTCTCGGCCGTTTGCCCAACCGATCCACCGGTGACGAGAAGCTAAGCTTCTCGTCACCGTTGAATTGCTGGCCACCGGGGATATGTAGAAACCTCGATGCTGTCGGCATACTGTCGGCGCACTGCGAACAAAAAAACAGTACAATGTCCCAGCTGTTCACCCAGAACGAAGACTTTATAAAGGATAACCCCCTTTCTCCGCAAAGTAATCGCTGCTCGCGAGTTGGCGTGCATAGTGTAACAAATTAAACGTGTTAGTATAAATATATACCAACACTCGTTCTCAAAACATTTTTTTACTCACCATAAAAGCAAGGCTTATGTATCGTCATATGTCTTGGATTCCGGACTGCTGAAGAGTGATGCGTTCGCAGAATGCTGCCGTCGGTTAGTTTAGTAGTCCTTCAGAACTACCGCTTTGCTTGACGTGCTAATAGGTTGATGGTGCGTCATTAATATAACAGCCGGATCAATATGAATGTTCAGCAGAACCAAGTAGAACTATTAGCCCTCATTAAGCGACGTCGCGGCCATTTTGCTTGTAGGTGCTCCTCCCTCGGCGCCCCTGCTCTCCCTCAATCACGTGACCCAGAATTCCCCCTTCTAGGGAAAATAGGTAACTTTAACCCACGGTTCGCGTTCGAGAAAACGGGCCCTGGAAAGTGGATTATATCCTCAGGCTTGCGCTTATGGCAATCCTCGTGGGAACCACCAAGGGTTCCACAACCTAGGCTACCCTCGGGATGCCGGCAGCCAAGGTAATGTGCATGAAATGAATCTGTCGACGAAACATAGCTGTGTTGACGAAATTATCTGTCTATGAAAGGTCGTTCGACGAATAAATGCCGCCGCTAGCGCGAATGGGGGCAGGAGAACAACGGTGAATTGTGACATATTAATACTCCCTCACGCATTCCATATCTATCACCGGTGAATGTACAGCCTCCAGATTTTTTTAATAATCTTACGAATGCCGTCCGGCGGGTAGATCAGCGCCTTATCGCAGCGTGAAACAGCTGAGGCCAGATTCACGAAACAATCTTATGCCAAAAATGTGCATACGATAAAACATAACAAATTCATATTCATGAAACAAAATTAACATAACTTTTGCATAGGTTACGATGGAATCCTACGACAGCTCCGGAGCTGTCTTGCGCACTTTTTACGATCAAATCAATATGGCCGACAGCATTGCTCAGTTACTTGGTCGAAACGACCAATGGACATTTATTTTTCTACATGCTCTTCTCGCACGTCCCGACTTCAAGCAGCAAGAAAAAAGAAAGAAGTACTTGAAACCGACCGCAATGAACATAAATGCTCGATCCACAAACCCGGGTAAAGCTACAATGGCAACGATCCCACCAACGAAGCGACCGCCAAGGGCGAGCTCGGCAGAATACAGGCCTAGCAAGCACTCCAACCTGTTCCTACGATCCTCCGCCGAGACAGACTGCCCACGACCGGCTGCTTGCTGCATGGAATATGCCCATGCGACCCTTGTGGACCCTTCCCGTATTAATAGTTTGATCGCTGACCTCAATTTTAGATTAAGAGGTCAATCTCTTCCCCTCGTCATCTCCTTGTTTTCCAAGGCAGCGGTGACAAACGCTGTCATCGAAAAAGGACTCTCATTGATTCTATCTCCTTGTTTTGTGTGATATTGAGCTGAAATAAAAACCGTATGGATCAGTGCTTCGGATTTGCCACTCTGAAACTGGAATGATTCCGGAATCATTCCGCACTTTCACGACCTCAAAATGGAATGGGAATGGAATGGCGGCAGTGCTTGGGGGAATGAAATGGGAATGGAATTAGACGCCTTTTGCCCGGAATGAAGTGGGAATGGAATGGGCTCGGTTCTTATGCACGCTGTGTCAATTTCCATGTAGGGATTACGGGCTGAGAGCACAGTTTGTTAGCGCATGGTAAGTGGCTCTTGAAACAGCATCATTGCACCGGAGGTGACCGACGTCTTCATTGTCTCACTAGCTTATACTCCTTCGAGGATGAAAATGGCACATCCTCAGTGAAGTAACCAAAACTGAATAGTTGTAGACGGACAAGGTGTCGTTCTTGGCACCGCGAGATGCAACAAAGCGGCTGTTGTGATCATGCACAATTAGAATATAGCTTTTAACAAGGGTGTCAAGCCGAACTGAAAACTCTAACCAAAATCAAACATTTGATATTGAGCCCGAATCGGAACGGAACCTTAAAGGGGCCCTGCAACAACTTTTTAACTGGTTTTTAATTTGCACCGAACCTGAGTGCACTGAACGTAGTAACTTAATTAAACTTTTCTTTTCTCGAATTTCACTTTATTTTAAAAGTTATAGGCAAATTAAAATTGCAAAAACAAGCAAAAAATAATTTCCTTCACGACGTCGTTGGTCGTGGCTGTCAACTGGAGGAGGGGTAGTGAGCTCAGCGAGCACTCACGGCTGCCGCATTCCATGTCAACGGCTCGAGAGGGCGCCACTAAAGCATGTGTTGGATAGGCTGTATGAAGCGGGCGGCCAGGGCATTTGCTGCGCAATTAAAGCATTTGCTGCGCAATTAAAGACTGATCCCACTACCTCTTTCTAGTATGCGCCGTCTTTTCCACCGCTTGGTGGCGAGTATGTCGACGGGTCATTTCTTTTTTCCGTACTTTATAAACTGCATTTATTTCTTTTCTGATCTAAAATACTGAACAAAAACTACTTTCATACATAATTGAAACAGTTCGCGCCACTTATATTTTGTATTTAGACTAAAAAAAAAGCTTTTAGCAGCTCTGACCAGTAGTAAGGTCAAGACCAAAGACCTCACATATTGCACGCTTTCGACACCGTGCGTCGCCCCCGTAGGTGGAGGACGTTTCCGCGTCATCCGGTTAAAATTTGACGCAATGATATTTAGTTACTCTCTCCGTGCCCGCTGGCTTGCCCGAAACCCAAACAAACGTGGAAACCGCAAAAAAAGTTAGACCCTTAAATATGATTGCAGGGCCCCTTTAATCTCATGTGGGGTTACCGATTCATTGGAAACGGTTCGACGCAATAAAATGTGAGCTGCGCCTTCCTCCGGATGGCGGCGCAAAGTCAATTAAATATTTGCGACAGTGGCGTCAGAGGCTCAGTTTTGACGAAACAAACAGCAATGACATGAAGACAGCTGAATATTAATGCAACAAATAAGTATATTTCACATCTATATACAGCACCAGGGATGAGCAGTATTTCAAATACTATTTGAAATATATATTTAAGATACTTTGTGTATTTTGCATTTGTATTTAATTACAAATTGGGTAATGTATTTGACGTGTGTATTTAAATACTAAAATGTGGGTATTTCAAATACAATTGTAATTAAATACAATTTTGTGGGCAGAAATGCATCCCTCAAATTTATTGTCACTGTCCAGAGCAGGAAGAAAACTATGTTCTGCACCGAATGCAGTGTCTCTCAATCAAGCACAAGCGTTTAGTGACTTTGTGATTACGGTGCTAGTCCAGGGCAAGAATAGTGACGAAATCGACGTTCATGGGCAGACTGGCTAAATAAGTGCCTGTGACAACTTGTGATGCTTTCCAGCCTGATTTCCATCCATATTTTTGCCTGGAATATTCTAAATGCGGGGGTCGTCCAGATTTTCGTAACTGGTGCGAGTTGCAACAATAAAAAATTCTCTAGCTAGTGCTGCGCATCTTGGTCGTCTCGGTTCTTCGTTGGTCTATACCAAAATGTAATCGACAAAAAAAAGCTGCTTGAAGCTCTGCACATTTTTCACCTATTACGTTCAAGTGATTACATTTTTTTGTGATTATATTTCTATTACGTTACTATCGCAGATTAACTCCCGAGTGTGTGATGCAAAATTAAAATGAGATACACAGAAACCTGTTGCAGGTGCCCTGAAGTCGCTGACGCAAATTTTGAGGAATGTATTTCGAAAAGTATTTGGAGGAGACCAAATACATTTGGTTGTATTTGTATCTTATACTTAAATGCTTTTTTGGAAATGTAATTAGAGTTGTAATTAAATACATTTTTGACAAAGTATATTGTATTTGTATTTCAATACATATTTGCACGTATTTTGCCCATCCCTGTACAGCACGAATTGGCATCAGCAAGTCGGCGTGGAGGTGTACACTTTGTTTTACCTTACGATGAGCCGCAAAAGATGCTACGAGCCACAGGAGCCTATTCGTGGCTCTGAGGGCGCCACGTGTCCTTGCAGTTTGGCGGAGCGACACGGAGAGCGCAAAGTCACAAGACAAGCTACGAACTCGGGATAGGCCCGTGCAGCTTGTAGTGTCCATCACGGCACGTCGTAAAGTGAAACTAAGTATTACTAACTATGCCGAGAGGCTAAAAAGCTCTTGTTTGTGCACACGTGTGTGTGTGTGTGTTCTTTTCTTGCTTCCAAGTAATATTCCTCAAGCAAGGATAAAGCAAACAAAAATGTGGAAGTGAAAACTAAAAGCTTACGGCTGTCGGCACATTTGTTCCGCAGTGGCGAAATCTGGAGGCACCAAGAAGCAAAGCCACGACAGGCACAACACTGCGACGCCGGTCACCGGAACGCCACTCGCCCAGAGCTTTTGACGCTGCTTGAAGTAATTTTGTGTGTGTGTGCGAACACAAGTTTTCTAGAAACAGCAAGACGCCCGTTGTATTTTCCTTCTTTCTTTTAATCGTCTTTCGACGGGCCTTTGCTTTCTTTCTCCTTTTCAACTATGTCGTTTGAGCAAGTCGTTCGGGCGTGCGGTGTGGGTGCAGTTTCGATCTGGATGACCATCGTACCGGCGTGTGCTTGTGCATCAGTACTGCGTGATATGCGTTGAAGACCCCACACTAGCAGTCGCACTGCAGCGGATAAATTTCTCATCTACAGATGTTAACAATGTTGCCATACTCTGGCAGACTAAACTCCTGCTGTCTTAATAATTTTCAACAAATCTGTATTTTGTGGGTAGTTTGCGAGTGTGGTGCATGTTACCATCACGGCATCACTGTGCGTGCTGGCTGATTGACTTCACATGTGAGTACACTACTTTGGTACTGTTTTCAAGCACCTGTATAACCACGTAATCTTCATCGAGCGGTGTTTGCATTAAAATTCAAGGTCACAAAATGAAATAGGGCATAGATTTGTTTTGCAGTCCTCGCTTCCGCAGCGCAGCTTCTGATGACCTAATATTTTTTATGCCGATGACGCCGTGTTTAACTAACATTTTCTTTATAATGACTGGGAGCTGTGGACTTTCTTTTTTTGAGAACCGGTTTAAACTGGTTCGCGCTTGGTGGAACCTTTAACCGAACAGTTATTTCAAAATCATCACTAAACCAGAACTGAACCAGGACAAAATTGAACCCAAATCAAACAGGAAAAATGACCTGTTCGACTCCCTGTTTTTAGCCCAGCCTAACTTCTATAGTGTTGACGTGGAATACAAATAAAGAATTTAATTCAATATGTTAAGAAACTGCAAGAATCGTCAGCAACCGTAAACGCTTACGTTTGAAGGCAGATTCTATAATATGCTGCTACATTCCCTTGTGTATCACCGCATACCGATTGGGTAACCTCGCGACACGTTTCACGAAGTTCATACCTTTAGGGCACCCCTTGCTACCGCAGCAATCGCCGGTAATCGCGGTGATGGTAAGAAGCTCGTCGTCTCGCCGGTCTCGCTCTCAGAAGAGCTGAGGAATTCATCAAGTGCAGCTGCGAGGCGCGTTCGTTTTCACAAGAACGCGCGTTTGCTACTCCCGCCATCTCCTCGATTCCCGCTCTTGGCCGCTATGCCTGATGGGACTGCACCCGGCACTCAGGGCCTCTTTCAAAACGCGTTCATGAATGCCGATTTCTCCTCTTACGAGCTTCTTAGCTAAGTGATCGTAGCCTAAGAAGCTCTTCGTGAATAGGTCAGCGAGACTATGCACGTGTTGCAGAAAGCACATGCCTAGCCTCGCAGACTTGCTGTTTCACGACGCGATAAGTCGCTGATCTACCGGTCGGTTGGCGACGCGTTCGCCTCGCTGACTTGCTGCTTCACGACGCGATAAGACGCTGATCTACCGGTCGGTTGGCGTTCGCACGATATTGGTGAAAAATCTGGAGGCTGTACATAGCTGAGTGAACCCATCTATCGCACAACAGTCCTATCAGGGGCACGCAACGGGAAGGCACTGCTCTCTTGTCGGCGGCGTCTATCCCTCCCGACTTGAAGAAAGGGTGAAAGCGCGAACGTCTAGTTTTCGCGAGTACTAATAATAATACTCATTTACATGAGAAGGTTACCCCAGAAGGTTACCCTGAGCGGCGTTCGAGACTAGGCAGGGGTGTTAGAACCCGTACGCAAGTGCGCCTGCCAGACCCGTCACCCAGAATAAAAGCGGAATACCAGCATAAATGCAGCGGGGTCACTTTCACCACGCGCTTGTAGTTTTGGCTTCAGTGTGGCATGAACACGCTCACTATTACAGCGTCCAGAAAACAAAGGCAGCAAACGTGCACACGAGCCCCTTGTCCACGAACACTTACCGGGCTTGCGGAGCTGTCGGTCGGGACGCGTATTTTCGAAACATGACCGTTATGTGTGTGTCGGCGTTGTAGTAAACGGTTGAGGTGGGCAGGAGAGGGCCAATCGTGTACGCGCACACGGCGCATTGGTCACTTTGGGGGAAGAAAGCTCTGCCTTGGCGTGCTCTGATTGGCCAGATTACCACCGCACAAATAGGCTATGTTCCAAATCGTACTCGAGTAATCCGAGTAATCTGTCTCCTGGTGATACCACGTGACATCGCGAGTAAACGATCCGGTGCTCGATTTTGGAACGGCCAGGATGAACACCTGGATACTGCGCGGATTGGCTTCGTCTTGGGCTACGGCAAAAAGAAAACAGCAGCGATGGCGGAAAATAGCAGACGATCTCTTTTGATCACGGAGAAACCACTCGAAGAGACGATCATGTTAACCGATTTCAAGTTTTTCTTTGACAATGACGACACGGAGTTTTCTGAGGTGGCTCCACCAGCTCCTTTTGCTCAAATTACTTACTCCTTTCAGTTAGACATCAAAATTTTTGTTTTTATTAATCAGCGCGATCGGTGCCATAAACGAATATGTTCAACGCATCGTAAGTAGCACTGATCACGTTTTGCGGATATTAGGGAGTTTTAGTAGACCGTGTTTCCCCCTCCGCTACCCCTCCGCAACGAAGAAACCGCCACTACGCCTGCGTGCTGAGGGGGTTAGCGGAGGGGGAAACACACTAAAACTCCCTATGGAGTCTATAGGGAGTTTTAGAAAAGGTCTATAGTATAGACCTTTTCTGTGTACTCTCGTCCCCAGGCACCTAATAGGCGTATCCGGTATGGGCAATGTTACTAAACCACTCAGTTGGGAAACTGCCATAGAGACTGCTCTGAGAAAGTGGCCCCGATCTGTCCTCGCGAACCGAGCTAATAGGGAGTTTTCGTAGACCGCGCTGCCCCCTCCGCTAAGCGTTCCGCAACGAAGAAGTCGCTACTGCGCCTGCGCGCCGATAGCCTTGACTGTGGAGTTCCCGCTATCGTAGCGGGTTGCGGAGGGCCTTGCGGGACGGCGAAAACGATCTACGAAAACTCCCTAATGGCGAACACAACGCCGCCATTTCTACCGCAGCGGCCACTCGAGGAACCGCACGTTACTTCCATTTTGGCTTTGATCGGCCATTTATGCGCCGAAACAGATACAGTGGAAGGGGTTACAGGGGTGCCACTCCTGTCTCCCAGCCGACGTGCCGCGTATAACTACCGAAGTTAAAATGCACCTAAGTCGGGACGCGCTACCTGAAAGCACCGCTGAGGCATGGTTGTATAAAAGATCAATGCGGAGGGCAAGTTCGTCTGCGTCTTGCGCAGGGGGCAGCGGTGACGTCTGTACGCCGAGCTAGGGAGGCTGTAGTGAGGGTGGGCGCAACTCAAAACCTGGAGAGTGTTTGCAATTTAATGGCGGCGCCTGAGGGAGAGGATTCGAGGAAGGATATGCGCCAGTGTTGCCTGCACGAGAGCAGGCGCCCGCTCTGTTACAACTCTGTTGCTCCATGCGCCTTTCCTCCTCTCGCCTCCCATTGCAAGCAACGAGCGCCTTGGCGCAGCCTCTCTCGCTTCCTTCTCGCTCCGAGAATTGCAAACGTCGAGCGGAGAAAGCAAAGTTGCCAGACAAGCAGCAACGTCCAAGATGGCGGAATTTACCATTCTTCGCGTTAAAAAAATACTTAACCTATCGCAACAAAACTGGTGGCTATGGAAAAGTAATCATTTATACCTTGTGTAAATTATTCAAGCGCCTTCATGGGCTTTTAAGAGCCGAGTTAGGAAAGAAAACGACCCTTTGCCCCATAGACCCCCAGCAAAATTTAGCAATTAAATGGCGTCCATGTCCCGTGATCGCCGATCTAGCAGTTGCACCCACCCTCACTTGAGCCTCCCTACGCCGAGCCCTGATTGGCTGATCGCGACCCCCTATCTCAGCGTCATCTGCTCCTTTGCAACGTCGTCTGCTCGCAACGTCGTCTGCGTCTGTCTTACCTTTCCTGCGACTTCTGGAAGTGCAGGTCTTTACGAGCGAGCTCGACTTCGGCCTTCAGAGAGGGTAGACCAAATAACTCGAGCGGTACGTTGTTTTTGTCAACAACTAGCAGACGCGCATCGAGGGAAGAAGTCAAAGGACTCACTGGCGAGGTGGCGAGGTGTGCCGAGGCGCCGAGGTTTGTTTGCTAAGAACCGAGAGTGAGGGTGGTTAGTGTCCGCAAGTTCCCTCCCAAATACTTTTCCCCTCCTTTCGTGTGCGGCGAGACTCCTCACTCTTTAACGGCGTCGGCGGGTTGGCGCGGTTGGCGCAGCTAACGTCGTCTGCTTTAAGACTGCTAGTCAAAGCGATGGCTGCTTTACCTTTCCTCCGTTTGTCGGAGATTCACCGCTTTTTCAACGGCGAGAACGCGGTCCTCGAAAAAGATTTGTGTTTGTCCTTTGTCCCTCTTGTTCCCCTGCTCCAGGGATTATTTTGGGATCTTGGGGAGGGAGATGTGGTGGGGTTGTTTACTGATCATATATATGAAATCTTCGATGCCTTAACTGCCTTACAAGTGTAAAGCGCCGTTCACACATATTCAACCGAGTAAGACCGAGAGAGAGCGCATTCGGTCCTAAGATCTCGCAAGAGGCTTAAAAACCGGTCTGGTCTCTCTCGATCTTACTCGGTTGCATATAAAACACATGTACGACGAAACCGTGCGATCCGACATCCGATCAGGCGATACGACGGTCGGAGGCGAAGGCTTTCAACGCTCTCCGGTGCTGCGAAAGCCCTCGCCCCCCAATGTCATTCGGCATTCCGCACGTCGGATCGGACGGTTTCGTCGTACATGTGTTTCGCGCTTTATCCTCTGATTACACACACTCTGGGGAGGAAAAAAAAAAAAACTAAAAAACTTCCACATTCTCTACTGCGTTTGAACATCCAACGCCGAAGCTGAGGATGCGGAGAAGCTCCTGTTTGCGGTCGCACTCTGATAATAACAACTATACCTTCCTGAGGGAAGGTGCACGGTCTGGATGTGGTGCAATCCGATCTCACTAAGAGTTCGGCGCATGCGTGACACCGCCATAACTTTGGTTCACAGGAGGCAGAAGGCGGTGCACGAGAGAGCTTGTGACGTCTCGTGCTCACACGCGCCGAGCTCCACCGAGGTTGCCGGCCCGCACGTGCTGAAAGACTAAACTTCCCTCGATGCAATGCGGCAGCGGTGGCGTAGTCAAACTGGCTGCTGAGATCGGTCTATTCCTGCGTTGAAAACAGCAAATTGCAATAACCAAACATAAATGGCTGCACCTCATTCTTTGTTAGTTAAAACGTCTACCACCAAAGCCAGCGGAGCAAACGACCTTTGACGGCTGTCGGCGCAGGAAGCAGACGACAAACAGATCACGTGACGTATTTACTCGATTTGACCCGGCGTTACCCCCCCGATCGAGGAGGGTAGCGAGAGTAATTACTCCGGAGTAAACAACCCGCCTCTGGAACGCGAGTTCTGAGGCCATCGAGTAAGCTCGAGTAAGTTTTGAAACGCCGCGGTACGAAACCAATTTACTCCGGAGTCGGATCGAGTAAATTTTGGAACAGCCATTGACGGCGACGCACATTCGGCGCCGGTCGCCGGCAGAGGAGCGTCTGCTACACCCCGCCGGATACTTGGGTGTCGTGGAGGCTTGCACTCTAAAAAATGTCTGTGCGTCTACTTTCCCGCACAACACTCGAAGAGCCAATCACCGCAAGTTACGGAGGCAGCTCAGCGAATGACGATGCGGAAACATATGTTTAGAACAAAAAACGCAGTCTGAGTTGTGACATTAAGCAATGCAAAACGTCACGCTTGCATTGCTTAATGTCACAACTCAGACTGCGTTTTCTGGGCTAAGTATATGTTTCGGCATCGTCATTCGCTGAGCTGCCTCCGTAAGTTGCGCTGATTGGCTATCCGAGTGTTGTGCGGGAAAGCAGACGCACGGGCTTTCCCCACAACACCCAACTATATCGTCAAAAAGAATCTGTTGACATTCCACAAGTCCCATTTACGTAATTTGCCTTCGCGCAAAAAATGTGCATTTATCCAAACGCAACACCTCCAAATAATAACACTCTTTTTTTTTCTTTTTTTTTAATTAAACTTAACAGTTTGTAGAAGCCACGCTTTTAACACTGGAATCTCGCAGTCAGAATAAATGGTCACTTCAATCGCTAAAACTGAGCATTCCCACCGGCGATATAAGCAGTAGCAGCAGATGGGGTTTGTCGGGAAAATGGGAAGCGTCTTTGTTTGAAAAGAACCTGTTTTTGTAAGTTGAAAGTCGAAATACAGTCTTCGTCGGAGGCTGGTCGCCTTGTGTCGTCTCCGATCATGGCGGGATCCGGTTTGGATTCGCGGTACTGAAGCACTGCACTTGATCTCTTCTGAAGTCACAAGTCAAGGGAACTCGATTAAGGTATGTCGAAGTGCTTCTGTTGATGGTGTATTCATTAACTGCGGCTTTAGAAAGTGTTTTATTTTGAGCGCGTTCTCTAGCTTGCAAAGCGCGCGTCATGCTCTATTCTTTTTGGCACCATGGTTGCTGATTTTGTTATGCAGCACAGAGACCTCATATTCAATCGTATCGAGCGAAACGCCAGTTCTACCTATGGCTTATTTTTTTTTTGTGTGTATGTTTTGCAGACACACAAATGGTCAAGCAGGATCGCTTGACCATAAACGCCTGTCCAGACAAGCAGCGGAGCGCTACAGGCATAGCGCTGACCTTGCGCTAAGCGCGTGCTGACGGGATCGGTCACCAGCTTTGTATCGCACCGACAAAACTCTTGCTCATGGCAGACGAAAAGTAGCTCTTGACACGTGAGCAGCGCTACATCAGCGCTTCGCTGCGTGTGAGAACCGGCATTAATGGAGATATTTATTCGATTGTACACTAGACTTTCGCGTTGATGGCGGGAGATCGTGCCGTCACTTTGAAGCATAGTTCGAGCACGCACGCGCT